ATATATATACACACACACACACACACACACACACACATATATACACAATGGAGTAGTATTCAGCCATAAAGAATAATGAAATCCTTTCATTTGCAGAAGCATAGAACTGAAAGACTTCATGTTAAGTGAAATAAGCCAGACAAAGAAGAACAAGTATCATATGTTTTCTCTCATATATGGAAACTTACAGAGAAACAGAACAAACAAAAATGATGACTTGAACATAGAAGAGGGACTACTAGGTATTGGGGGATGGGTCAGGAGCAGGGGAAAGGGTGGTAGGAATGAGGAGGGAAGGAATATAGACAAGATCAAAGTTCAATATTTTGCATCTATGGAAAAACCACAGCAAAATCCATTAATTTGTACAATTAATTGGTTAATAACTATAATAAAAAAATTAATTAAAAATAACAAACAAAAATAAATCAATTATATTACATAATATACACTTCAATAATCTGGGTCCCCAACAGAAAAAAAAAAAAAAGACCTTAACAAAATCTAACACTGCTCCTGTAGCTCCATTGTGTAAACTCTATCTCACTTTCACTTCCTGGCCCACTACAGCTATCTTCTGCACCCACCAAATAGCACATCCAGCACATCCATTCTCTTGGGCAAGAAGGGAAATTCTGTCATTGTCCCATGTTTAATAGACACCTGACATTTTTAAACCACCCACATTCTCATGTTAGCCCACCAGCCAAATTCTAAAATGTGGCTTAAACCTTATGAAATGGGTCCACCTGCCAACAAGTCTATCTTTGGAAATTCAATTTGTACAGGGTTATCTTAGCAACAGAATTTTCTAAAAACTAAAACCTCTGTAGTCAAAAAACATATATCTAAGCAAGCTGTCTGCTTCCTTCAAAGATATTTCTAGTAGGGGGCAAGGAAGAGAACAGCTTCCAATATCCAATAGTTAACCTTTTTAACAAGAGAAACAGAAGGAGTTAGGATGACACATGGGAAGATATGTGAAACAACCCATGAATGGTATGAATTAATTCTTAAGTAGAAACACCTTTAAAAAGGTGACCATGGGTTAAAAATGTCCTGGCTTAGTATGAGCACTATTCATCATTAAAACTTGCAAATTCAGTCAAAAAGTTACGTACTTCTAAATTGAGTTTGTAGTTCATTTATTTCAAGTGTAATAAGAACAAAAATATAAACTACTTGTCAATTACTACCTGACAGAGGATTAATATCTAGGATATACAAAGAACTCAAAAAATTAAGGCAAAAAGAACAAGCGATCCAGTTGATAAATGGACAAATGAGCTGAATAGATACTTCTCAAATGAAGTACAAATGGCCAATAAATACTGAAACACTGTTCAGCATTGTTAGCCATTAAGGAATTACAAATCAGAACTAGATATTCCTTCTCACCCAGTCAGAATATTATCAGTTGGCTATTATCAAAAACAGGAAAAGGAAAAAAAAATTATCACATGTTGTTGAGGTAGTGGAGAAAAAGGAAAAAAGAAGGCTTTAATTATACACAGGTGCTATGGAATTTTCCTGAGTAAATACATTCATCTCTTTGGGCACATCTTTTGAACCATCTTAGCTAAAGTTAAAAGTCAAAGAGAAGCAAGGAAATAAACTCACTTGTCAAACTCATCGAAGAGATCACAACTCTGCAGTTTTGAAAGAGCAAGTTTAAAATATGCCTCTAGAAAAGAAATGGAATGTTATGAGTAAGAAGATAATCATGACTTCTCAGGTAACTAATAAGCCACCTTGCTCACTACCCCCCAAATCTATTTCCAACTGGTAAGGCCACATCTGGTTTAATGTGTGAAAAATTAATGATACAACTACAATTACCCCCACACTACTCCATAAGCACATTCAAAATGGCAGTGCTCTAAATGTACTTCACCAAAACCCCAGAAAGAAATAAGATGCTTAACCTGAAAACAATCAAAAAAGTAATTAAAAATTTAACAGTATCTGATGATTCTGAAACTGACATTAAAATTAAAACCAAGAGTAAGTTTAAACCAATTCTCAAATTCTCTGCAAAATATTTTTAAAATACAAAAAAAAAAACCAAAAAACCACAAAACAATCAAACAAACAAAAAATAAGCAGAATCAGTCAAAAAAAAAAATTAAAATCTGACTCAGAAAAGCATAGGCCTGTCAACTCTTCGGTTTTATATATATATATGTGTGTGTGTGTGTGTGTGTGTGTGTGTGTGTGTGTGTGTATAAAAATTAGATGTTGATGGACCTTTATTTTATTCATTTATTTATATGTGGTGCTGAGAATCATCCCTCACACATGCTAGGAAAGTGCTCTACTGAGTCACAACCCCAGCCCCACATCTTGGGTTTTTAAGGTCTCCCAAAAATCTAGAACTTAAAGCTTGTATGGCCAATCAGTTCTCAATGAGCAAAAGCAAAAGTGCTTTGTCACTAGGAGATGGAATAATTCCCTCTAAATTTAGCAAAAGTGAAATACCCACTGATTAAATTAAAAGGCTGATCAAGAAGCTAAAACTTCCTGATGAAATAAACAAAACAAATCAGGTAAAAGAGGTGAAATGGGGAAACAGGAAAGAAGTTAACATCCAGGGTTATCCTGTTAATTCTTTTTATGGGGAGGTGGGTACTAGGGATTGAATCCAGGGACTCACACATGTTGACAAGCACTCTACCACTTAGTTATATCCTCAGCCCCTCCTGCTAATTCTAAATTGGAATAAAGTAAGGTATAGAACTCATAGGAGTCACCCTGTGGCAGAACAAAAGTAAAACACAGCATCTCAACAACAAAAATCTATCGTCTTAATTACTTAAACTCAAAAGCAAGGGATATTTCTGTTTCAAAATATAATTCCCTTTATCCCATCCCCCAGTTGTATCCCTTAGGAATCATTAGGAGGCAGAAAGATTAAAAGGCCTTGGAATTATACAAACATGTGGTTCTCATCAAAGAGGACTCAAACTTAACAGGAAAGGTTCAGAATACTGCTACTGACCTGATCTTTTTGTCCCATAGGGCAAATAAAACTGATCACTACCAGTGACTATAGCAGTATTCCTAAAATCAGACACACACAAAAAGGGGTGAATCTGAGGAAACCTGGAAGAAAGGAAAAAAAAACAAACTGATTATGAAAGAGCATTCTATATTGTCAGGCTTTTCAGACAACTACTGAAAATAACTATAGCATGTAACTGAAGTTGTATTTTTAAAATCTTTTATGTAAGACAGTATTAGATATTACATAGAATGGAATATGCAGTGGAGCTACACACTGGAATGGAAACACTTTCCAAGTACTGAGAACAAAATTTTGTTACAGTGGAGGTGAAAACAAAATTTTAAAACAGCACCAAGCAATCAAAGAATAGCCAGGAAGGAACAAAGGGAAGTAATAAAGGTACTGATACTAAGTCATTCCTAAATGTTAAAAGGACCATTTGTATGTTGTTGTCTCAGCTGTAAAAACATATTAAAAAGTAGATGGAGCTAGAACGTAACTCTTCCCTAATGTCATTAAATTAAGATTTACCCAAGAACAAGAATGTGGGCATTCATCTTCTTACTGCCTGCTTTGCACTGAAGGCAACCCCCAACCCTCTGGACAAGAGAGAAAGCTTGATCAGCATAGGAATAGCCTCTGTTTTTCTTATTTTTAGTGCCTGACACAGAGTTTAGCATATTTAACAAAATGATTAAATAAATTTCATTTTTTTTTTCCTGTGCTGGGGATTGGACCAAGGGCTTTGTGCATGCTAGGTAAGTTCTACCACTGAAGTACTTCCCCAGCCCTCCAAATCAATCTTTTGGGATTCTTATGAATCAGAAAAAAAAAATGAGATTTTTGAAAGGATCTTAAAGTTCATATTAAAATGCTGCTTTCACCCAGCAGAAGGACTGGCTGGTACTTACACGCTGCAGGACAAATATAGCTAATCCTAACCACAGTCCCACACCTGCCATCATCTTTCCTGCCACATCATGAGTTTTGTGCTTAGTCTAAAAATTGCAGGTGGAGATCAGAGTGATACAGGGGCTTCAGAGGGCTGCATGACAAAATGTAAGACTCAGGAAGAGTGAGAGAGCCTCAATTTTATCCTGGCTTTGTCACTCAGGAGCAAGTCAAAGGAGCTTAATGTTTTCAGAGCTGAATTACGAAATTACACTGCATTCAGGAGAAGGAAAGTAGGTGAGACCAGTCCTCTCTGCTCCAGCTATGATGTCCCAGATTCAGCTGTGATAGTGATAGCAGTCTCAAGAGCCAGTCAACCTGCAAATGTCATTTCTATATCAGTGTTGATCTTAAGCCTAGGATCTGCCTTGGGAAGAGGAAATATCAGGTCACCTGATTTAACCTTGAGAGAAGGCTCCTGAGCTTCCCAGTCTTCCTTGGAAAATTGAACCCTAGTTAACTGCACCAATAAAAGACTCTTGCTTGGAGTTAGCAATAGGAACACTGATGCTAACTAATGACTAATGTCTATTTCCAGTTGGATCTTGGACTAGGTGACTTTTATTTATTTCTAAGTGAAATAATTGTTTGATATCATATTTCAGACATTTCAGGGGATCAATAAGTATTAGCTTTATCTGTAATAATTATATTACATTGCATATACTGCAGTGCATCATATCACAAAATACTGTGTTACATGTTACATTGTAAGATATCACATTGATTAGAAATTTTCCCTTTTACTGACTTTTAGTGAACTACATAGAATGCAAATAATTAATAATCTATGTACAGAGTAATGACTACTTATTGTAATTGTCACATTGTATATATTAGAGTGTATATACACTGTAACATGATACATTGTATATATATTGTACATATAAATATATACTACAGTATATAATATTATATTACAACATATTTATTACATTATATTTCCATGACAGTTATTGGTGAAAAGCCTGGCAGGGCAGGTAAAGTGCATTAGTCAATGTAGGTGAAGAAACTAAAGGTATGAAAAGTGAAGTAACTCATCTGGAGTCACTAACCTGCACACAACGAAGCTGAAATCCATGTGCAAACTGAAATCTAAAGAAAGGTGTCCACATTATAACTCTCCAGGTTTCTATGTGCAACTTCCTGATTGATACTAATAATTCCTCTTTCTGAGAAAATGGCAAGCTCTAGGGGACTATGCTCAGAGAATAATGCTCATCTGACAAGTACAAATCTACTTGTCCCTTAGATGACAGACTTACAGATCTGCTGAACATATGTACTTTGTATACACACTTTATTTAACCTTTTGGGGTTTTCTCAAGATGTAAATATCCAATTTTTAATTAAAGTTATAGAGTACCTTGATTCTAGAGTAGCATATTATCTGCCACCTATATGTGGCTTATGAAATCAATTTTTGGAGTAATGATCAGCATATTTCAAAAAATATGAACAGAACAGAACACAGTATATCTTGGATAGTAAGGGTAAAATATTGGGTTTTTTTCTTATTCTAAATACATATGTGTACTGTGTTCAAGTGAAATGTCTTTATTATGAGTCATAGTCAAAAAGCATAAACACACTCTTCTAGTTTTGTAGTGGCCCAACCTGGACATACACCCATGGAAAGACTACAAACAGCCATTGCATGTAATCATGTACAAAAAAATTTGTACGTATCTTCAGTTTTTCAGAGCTGACTGATTTCTAAGGGTCTGTGGCCCCAAAGGTTAAGAACCAGTAATGGGAAGACATAGTCTCATAATATAGTAAAAGAAATTCTGAATTCTGGGATGCTTAATGAGAAAAATGCTGAAGATTTTACATCCATTTTATACAATTAAACATGATTAATTATGTCTCTTTTTTTATTATCTAGAAGACTTTTGACCAGCACTCTATCAAAGTCAAGATACACAGAAGTACATGTGTGGATAAAAAAAAAAAAAAAAAACACTGTGAAAATCCTGACAACTACAACAAAAAGTCATTATTTACATTGCATATAGATTAATTATTATTTGCATTCTATGCCATTTACTAAAAGTGAGTAGAAGTCAAGGAAAATTTTTTTTTATTGTGAAAATAAGTACTCTTATTTAAAATTTCAGAAAAACATGCCTGTTAAAACATGGTTAATTTTGAAAACTGATAGTTTGTCAGTAATCAGAAAGTGCTAGGAAAGCAAGAACATCAGTTTTAACTTCTTCAGTTATACAACTGGTTAAGTGAGATATATAGTGAAAATGCTAAAGACTTTCCACAGCTCTGTGCTTATGGCATGATTGGCCTGTCATGCTTTATTGATTTCCAACTTTAAAAGTATAGGTTCAAAGGGTAATATATTATGATATTAAATCAAATACATAGCCAAGAAAAATTTCTCCCTATTAATGTGGTTTATGGAATCTTATTTCCTGATTCAAAATATTTAGTATTTTGTCTTTTTGTTGCTTTAGAAACTTTGATTATCAATTGTCTAAACTCTCAAGGCTAAATTGTCCTTGACTTTTTCCATATCCATCCAAAATTTTGCAAGGTAATATCTTTGGATCCCTCTCAGAAAAATTACAGAAATTAAGTTTAATTAATATGATTTTTTTAATGTGCAAAGCTCTAACTCTGGTTTTTAAAGCAAATATAGGAAATAAAAGCATAGCATCATTTCAATGCCCAGATGTCAATATAAATGGCATCAGTATAAAGACTTAAGCAAATCTCAAACACAGGACATTAGTAAATAGGACATTATGCATTGATTTAATGTTAGCAAGAACAAGAAGCTTTATAATAGGTAAAAGAACCAATATACTATATTAAATTGAATATTAACCTAAGCAACTGTAATTTTTACAAATTCTCCAATTTCATAACTTGTTTTTGAATAAACTTTAGCCTCACTTTTAAAATTAAATGCCTATTCAACAAAGATTATTGAACAAACATAAATATGCAAATTTACACATTAGAAAACCAGAGTAAACAGGAGACATCATTCAAAGACAATGAATAAGTCCTATTCTTTTTCATCATCTGTGTGGTGAAGTTGCAAAGGTCATACTGTCCTCTTTGCTTTTCCTAAGCCACTGCTTCCTACCTCTTCAGGAATCTGATTCTCCTTTTCAGAATCTTTAGGGGCAGCCTGAAGAATTTTCCATTTCCTTTTTGCCACTGGGGAGTTGGACATATACAAACTAGATTCCCTCCTGCATATTTATTTCCAGCTTTCCTTGATGAAAGCAATGTAGAATTAGTGGCAGAGGTGAAGGAACCAAGGACCTTTCTTGGAGCTTGAGAAGCTACCACTTATCTGGGACACTGTCTGCTTTTGTCCACACCATGTTCAAACAGGAAGAGACGAGAAAAACACAGATTCACAGCCAAAGGTATTTCACAGAACAAGGACCAAAATTTCTAATCGTAAAGTTTGACTTAGAGGCAAAGGAGAAGAAACCACAAAATAATAAGAGTGAAAATAGCTTGGGAACAAGGTGGGGGAAATACAACCTAAAGAATACTTACCATTTTTATGACCAAACCTAAATAACACCTCTCTAATCTTAGTTGTGTGGAAAGAATACCGGTCTGATTGAGTTCTTTGGTGCCTTTTCTTAAAATGTGTGCAGAGCTCTGACTAAAAGCACAAAAAAGAGACAAGATATTCAAGCTCTTCCTTAACTATGGTGTGCCCACCTTACACTGTTAAGATTTGTATGAAAAAAAAAAAATTGTAAACCAGTGTTGAAAACAATTGCAAATATGAACATTTTGTATGCCACAGGTTTTTTTTTTTAACACTTTATTTTGTCTATTTATCTTTACCTCAAGAGAGATGCAAAAGCTGGCTTTGATAAACAAGGCTGGATCTTATTTCGGTGCTTCATTTCTATAGGTGGTACCCTAGAAGACAAAAATAGTGTCTGTCAGAAAGCAAGACCTGGAAGCATGCCCAAAAGGAAGCCAAATGCCTGGGAGCCTGCTCGTTGCCACCACTGACAGGCTATTGGGCAGGGGGTCAAAAGCCTCCCTGCAGCCCTGAGTTCTGACCCTCTCTAAGTCCCATGCACACTTGAGGATCTTCGAGTATAAGGCAAGGGAGTATGGAAAAGGCCAAGGTGACTAGCAACCCAAGAAGTGGTTCAAAGAGCAGTGAGTCAAAGGACTCTCAGAGAAGGGATAGGGTTACCGTCGTAGAAGCCAAAACCACGATCCATTTTTAGACTCTCTCAAGAGCCAGAGAAACCAAACTCACTCCAAGGGCACATGATTATCATCTACCATGCCACATCTAGGGCCGCCTACCAACAGGGAACATCACAAAAACACCTGACCTGAGCAGTTTCAATAGGCTTTTTGCCTCGTGATCCTGGGGACTCCATAAATCACAGCATTTGGAATCTTATCTAATGCTTCTCTATTCTTGGCACAGGTTAGGCCCTTGTGTGACTCCTGAATGGAGTACTTGTCTCCGAAATTTAAAAGGGTATTGTGAAACATGACAGAGAACAACAATGAAAATGAACCAAAGGGGTGGAGGGTAGCAGGATCCAGACTAGCTGGGAAAGAAGAAAATAGCTTAATATAAAATCCTAACTGACAATTATCAACGATGTGAAGAAATGATATAAAAATAATCAATTTTCTTCTATAATCAATAGGATTCAAACTGAAAGAAACAGACTAACCCATTTATGGATAAACATAATTTTCTATATTTAAATACAAAATCTCCATTGTTAGAAGATTTTATATTTAAAATATTGAAATAGGTTTCTGATCTAAAAAGCTCATAAAGTCCTTATGCAGGGAAACATCTTGTTGAGTACCACAAATGGCAAGGACCCTTTGATTAACAAATAAGAAAGATACAAACATAAATATGGTAGAACAGCACATCAGGCCACAAACACTGACTTATATTTAGAGGAAAATGGGATATATATCATTAGACTTCAAAGGTCATTAAAACCAAAAACAAACTACTTTAGGATATTGCAAAGTCAAACTTCGGGTGTCTGTTAAAGCAAAAACAATTACCATCTTAAATATTTTTTGAAGGAATCAAGCTCATGGTGCACACACACATTTGAGGTAACTCCCCTGGGTACTTTCTATGATTGTAAGAATGTGTTTGCTTAGCTTAGATACGCCTCAAGTTAGATGACAAAAGACTGTGTTGTATTTGACCCTTTTTATTATTTTGTCCTTTCCCCTGTGACAAATAATAGGATCTAGAGGAAAGTAACAATTTAATAGTTTTTTGTTTTCTCTGTTTTTTGTCTTTCACTACTAAGAGTGGGATAGAAAGGATATGACAGAGATGGAGGGAGAGACCACTGATGGGTAATCATCATGGAATGGATAATAGACTTTAGAGCTCTCTAGCCCAGGGGCATTGTTATTGTTTTTGTTTTTTTCAGTAGCCATTTGCCTAACTTCCTTCCAAGAAAAACACTGTAATTGTTTTCCAATTAGTTAGTTATAGAAATTAGTTATAGAACCATTAATATTTTTATCTTGTAAGCATAAGCTACAAACATAATCTAAGCTCTAAGACTTAGTATTGAAAAGTTGACAAAAAATACTCCTTTGTCTAAGACAGCAAGTTGCCATGGAGTGTATTTTGAGTTAATTTTGTGTTGCCCTCCATTTAGGATTTAAAGGTCATCAAAACTTTATTCCTAGCTAAAGGACTGACAAAGGGGAGAAAGATAAAACTTACTTATGGAGATTTTTTTTTTTTTACAGTAAAGTTATCTGTGCCTATTCAAAGTTTGGGGGTTGATATTATCAAGTCAAGTTATTTTTTAAAATATATATATATCATCATTCATCAAATATTTTTAAACAAAGAAAACCAAATGTAGTGTTTACATTTTATCAACAATCTCTTATCTAAGCATTTTAGGCCCTAAAAGTCAAATGCCACTGAGAATAAGAATTACTCCATTAATTCAAGGAGATGAACTATCGTATAAATGCAAATATTATGTCCCAAAGATTGTTACCACTACTGCTTCACTGGAGAGTCAGTAAAATGTAGTGTTATTTATAAATTTTCAAATTGTTAGAGATACTAATCTATAGGATACTGAATGGTTAGACCCCAAATTTTAATGGAAACTTAGAAAAGATACAAAATATTACAATGCTTAAGTCCCTCTCCTATAATTTGAGGAGTAAGTTTGTATGAAAGTCTAGTTTGGGAATTATGTTTAAGTGGCAAAAATGAAACTTACCCATAAACATTTGTTCCCCACAATATACAATGCAGTACATAATAGAGAAAAACAGCACTGAGGAATATGGCCACGAGGTACCCTCTCATGGCTGGCCCACCTGAAATACAAGACAAAGTCCAAAGAAATGGGAAGAATGTTAGAAAGTTTTTCACAATGTTTCAAATATAAAGTCACAGCAAATAAATATACATAAGGGGAACAAAAGAAAACAATGTAGATTTGTAAATTTGAAAATATTCAATGTGCAGAATGAGAATATCTTTTTTCTGCTTCTCCTCTTATCAGCTAATCAATACAATATGGTATGTGTTTAGACCAATAAACAGTTAATGGATTCAAAACTAGGGACTTACCTAATACTTTCTTAAGTTAGAAAGAAAAGTTCCTTCAGAACAAAATTTTATAACATGTCTATATCAAATTTTTTTCAGAAACATTGAATATCCATTTTCTCCTTCTCAATATAAAGTGAATATATGCCTTAAGATGTGAATAAGAATTACATTTATTCAGAGCCTAAAATGGCTTTTAAATGTCATACCTTATAATTTTCATGGGTCTTTCTAATTTTGAAAAACCTCAGGATAAACATCTACTGAAAAATATTTCTGACATCCTCAATTTTTATGTACATTTAGACAACCAATTTTTCTACACAGGTATATTGACCTAATTTCTTGCTTATTTTTGGTAATGAATCAGTATAGTTCACTGCACATGTGCAGACAAAAATCTGAACACATTTCTTTCTAGAATGTAAGTGGAAAAAACCCTCTTAGAATATATTTTTTTATAATCCACTCTAACACATTTGTCTAATCCCCTACTCTTTGCTTCAAAAATGGAAATGAAAAACTCCCACTTTCATATGTAATTGAATGCAAAAGACAAATTTGATATATGGCTTCATAATAAATCTTCTATTTTAGTGCATGTGACTTTAAATAGCTATGCTATTTCTCTGCCTCCCTTACCTAGTTTATAGTTCATCTAAACAATTGTATGTGTCTCTATTCTAACTCCTATCCATATCTGTTAATCTCAATTACAGCGATGCAGAATAGGAAGTGGGAGTTTGGTTGGATACATTTCCAAATAACATAATGTTGACACACTTTCAATGGTAAATAAGTTCAAGTGCAATTGTGTTTGTTTAAATACATAACAATGAATCCCACCATTATGTACAGTTGTAATGTACCCATAACTATATGGAAAAAAATAAGTTCAACTGAAAAATGAAAAGCACCTCCTTGTCTTTTTAAGTGGAATACACTAAATATAATTTGAGCTTTTCTTGGTGAGGCAAGATAATCTTAACAAACATTATATTTGTGCTAGGCATTTTAGAGTTGCGACTCTCTGGAGCTAAAGAGGGTGTGGGTTTACTTGCTAAACAGTCCTAAGCTGCAATAATTATTTGGCTGAGATTTCTCTGACTCCTCTCTTGCTGTTAGCTATTGCTCTGTGCAGCCACCACTCCCATATGTCACTATTATACAGTAGTTAGAAATGAATGCTATGTCAGGAGAAAGCAAATAAACAAATAAATTAAAGGAACAAACTTCAGTTTGCACATACTTCTAATTTAGTAGACATGATTCTTATGAAGAATTAACATTATCTGGAGATCAGAAGACACGATTCACAGCCCCACTGCACATGAAGCTTGGGTGGCCTTAGGTAAACCAGTTTGCTTCTTGCAACCCAAGCGTCCTCACATATTTGCAAGTGAGAGCACACCCTCTACTTCATTGGATTATTACACTGTCCTGGAAGGCAATTTATCATTGGCCAAAATAGTCAACCAACAACTTGCTTAAATTGTTCAAATTAAGCATTTATATTTCTACTAGGAATAATATCATTTATGTAAATATCCAACAAGGATGCAACTTATCAGTATCTGCAAATTTTATTTCTATCTAAGATAAGAAAATGTATAAAGGCCTAGATTTTAAAAGTCAGCATTTAAAATTCATATATCTAACCCCGCAAACATATTCTTTGGGAAATTTATGTATTACAGAGCATGGAGTTATGGGTAAGGTTTTTGTTTTGTTGTTTTTCATTCAGTAAAAATGTGGTTTAACTGAAAACAAATAAGTGTGAGAGAGCATTCTTTTTTCCTTCAAAAGTAAAATGAACCTACTCTTGAAGAGCCATAGCACCAGAAAAAAAAATTTTTTTTTTTTAAAGTAGGAAGCTTGGCTACTCTCTAGTATTTCATGGCCAATTTAAAGCTTTGATATTCAAATTGCAAAGTAGACCAGGGTCAGCCAGGATATCCTTGTGATAAACATGTATGGTTCCTCTGCTTGTTCACAGGAAAAAGCTAACACAAATAAATGAGTTCTGTAATTAAAATTCTATAAATGGATGACCATCTTGCTTTGTGAAAAGCAATCAAAGGAAAACCAGTTGGAATTTAACATAGGGTGTTTGCTTTCAAAAATACCTAAGGCCTTGGAATACAGCTTCAATTGCCCGTACAAACATGTTTCAAGATCTTGACATTGAACACGACAGATGCCAGTTTAGGGGCTGCAGGTGGTTCTGAAACCAGGGGCCCTACAACATCTTTGACTAAGTTATTAACAATGCAATCATTCCTCTTCAGGGTGGATAAAGGGCAGAGAGGGAAGTAGAGCTCATTAGCAAAGGTCAAATATCTATTTCTTCTCAAACTCTGAACTTAGCTCAATTGTGGCAATGGTGTTTCCTCCATTTTAATAAAAAACGTATATTTTATTTGTATGGAGCTTTGAAGTTCATACAAAGCTTGAATGTCTATCATTTAGCTCACACCTGGCTCAAAATATGCTTGTCAAATGGGTGTGCAGATATGATTTTCTTGATGAATAAGGAAATGAAAGTTTCTAAACTTGTCTCAGATCACACAGTTCAAGGGAAAAAGAAATAGATTTTCAGTCTGACCCTTTCAGAGTTCTATTCCTGGTGTCATCCTGTCATCTCAAGATAAAATGCATTAGAGAGAATTCTAATCTGAAACCTCCTTATGGTGCCCTGCTGGTGTGTGCAGTTTTGGAAGGGTCAACTCACACAGCAGTGAAAGGAAGGCAGCTCTAGGGCAGCATTCAAGGGTTAGCACCAGTGGGGTGAAGGGTGTTAGCATGCAGATTCTGGAGTCCCTACAAGCTTCCTCCAATTTGATTCTTACGTACAGAAAAGTTTGAGAAACACTGCTCTAGGACACAGTATAGAACCATGGAGGGAAAAAGAAATAACAGATTTCCTGAACTGCATAGACCATAACAGATGATAGAGTTAGTACTCCCACAAGACAGCAAGTGCCACAAAAGCAGGTCCTGTCTTCTCTAGCATTTTATTTTTAGTACTTCTAACATAGCACTGTCACAAAGAAGAGGCTAAGCAGACAGTTATTGAATATGCAGATCCCCAATGCTTTGTGTTAATTCTTTTTTACCTTAAATGCCTAGTACACGGCACATGCTCAGTGAATAACAGCTGATCTGAATTCCTGTGAAGTATGAGTGCTTACCATGTGCCAAGTAGGATAAATGCTTTGGGTGCATTATCTTATGTCATATTGTCAATGATCCTATGAGGGAAGTAGTAAACTTGCAATTTTTATTTTAGAGATGATGAAACTGAAGGTCTGAGAGGTGCAATAACTTTCCCAAGTTCACAAGCAGCAAAATCGGGACTCAAACCTACATCTACCACACCAGAGTCCCTGTACCATACAGCCTCTCACAGAGGTGAGCTTTCACAAATGAGCACAGGCACATTCTTTTGGTATCAGACAAAACATGACATTTCTCTAATTTATCAATTCTACCAACTCTTTAAGCAGTATCTATTTAACATCAATTGGCAAAATTGAAAGTTTATAGTCTTTTTGATATAAACTCTGCTGAAATAAAACCATATTACTAATAACCCCATTCCTTCTAATTCTGCTCCTCCCAACCATGTTAGCATTGTTTATAAAAACAAAACAAATCCTACGGAATGACACTTTAAAACTCATCAGATTTTTATTTGCAGATTCTTCTAATGCTTTCTCAAACCAAAGGGAGCTTGTTTTCTCAACCAGCTAGAAAAAATATTGTGTTCAGCAAGAATTCTGGAAACTTTGTTCTACTTATCAAGTACAAAAGTATCTCAATAAATATTATATAACACCAAGAAAGAAACAGCCTTGGCCTTGCAGGTGCTTTCTAAAGCCCTTCTTCAGACCCAGTCACCAAGTTCTGGGACTGATCCTGGCCTAAGAAAAGGGAGCCCCAGGAGCCCTTGATTAGAGATCATAGTTTGGTCCAGTTCCTATTGCACCTGTGCCAATCTTGGGTATCACAACTGCTGAAAATGGGTTCTTGCTGCTGTATTCTTAAATGATATCATAGTTTTGTAAAGTCTTTATTCTTCTCTTAGGCCCCAGGAGCTCTTCAGCCAATCTTTCAGTGAATTTTGTATCTAGGATCCAAAATCATGTCCAAGCCAGTCTGTAGCAAGGCTTCCCTTTCCTTCCTGCTTCCTCAGTGACAGATGACTTTATCTTTCCACTACTGGATCTCCTCTCACATCCAGTATGCTGTTTAATACCACCTGATAACTTGAATTTTTGTGCAAATTAGAAAATAACAGCTCCTCTGATTTCACATAGTCCTGTGAGCACCCAATATCTATTATATTAGCAACAGCTAGATTTCAGCCACAACTTATCGCTTAGCCAGGTATCTGTCTTCATAGCTTACCTCCACAACTTTACCAGGTGGCCCTGTTAACATTTGTGTCCACTCAGTCCTCTGAGAAGCCTTCGTCCTTTCAGGTCTCTGCTGGCCCTCAGCTCACACTGATACACACTGAAGTCTACAACAGATTTTGCAGTTTGCCTGCCTTCCTCTTTGTATTTACAACTCAGTTTTGTGATTATTCTCTACAGTTATATGCCTAGGACATTTTAAACAAACCTGTGTAAACAAATCTAGGACAGACCCTCCAGCTCCAGCCATGCATTAATGTTTGTTACTGAGGATTGAACTCAGGAGCACTCAACCACTGAGCCATGTCCCCAGCCCTATTTTGTATTTTATTTAGAGACAGGGTCTC